AGAAATAAAACAGAAGACAACAAAAAAGTTCCAGGAATTTCAAACTCGAATACTTTGAACAAAATACAAATTGCAAAACTGGAGTCAAGTTCAATGAGTTCCATCCTGGCATCCTTTGAATGCAAATAAAATTGATTATCTTCAACCAAATGATTACCATTGATCATTAACAACAAAGTCATCTTCAACAACAAAAACAAAAAAACAATAAAATAAAGTTGACACATTTCAAACACACATTTTCCTGCTGCGTTCATTCAAAATTGAAATGACCATCCCTACTACAACATTCATGATTGAAATCAAAGGAAAAAAACGAAAAACAATCTTAAATCTCATTCACGCAGAAAGCAATTTTTAATCGAAAAAAAATGTTCAAGTTTTCAAAATTTCCAAAACTGTTATCAAAGCATCATATCAATAGAAAGGGATGTGCGGGTATATGTGGAATCAAAGTGGACATGATCAACACCACCACCACCATCATCGTCATTATCATCATCATCATCATGATAATCACTAACGAAAAAAAAACTAGTTAATGTCAATGTCCACGGCCAAATCATCGTAATAGAAATACGATGATGACGAGAAAAAAAACACTAAATTTAAATATCGGATAGAAAATCAACCAGTGTGTGTGAATGATGCTCACACACACACACACACTGGTTTGTTATGTTGTCACATTTTTTAGTTGACAACTGACAATTCTACATGTAACCACAAAATGTGTTTTCAATAAAGGAACTATAAGTTACATAATGATAATGATGATGATGAATTTTTCGTGTTTCTCTAGCATCCACACAGCATTATTGGAAGAAAAAAAATGAATTGTCACCATTCATCATCATTATTATTTGTTTGTTTGTAAATTTGCATTTAGAATTAAATAAATTGAAATTTTTGAATGAAAAAAAAACATAAGAGTAATGAGAATATGCCGCTGCCAATAGATGTTTGAATATTGAAAAAAAAGAGAAAATAAATGTATGATGGTGGACAAATGAAAAAAAAACAACAACAAATTTCAACCATCCGACCAGAATGAATGATCAATGCATAGGCAAAAAAACCATGGGAACGATGATGGCATCTTCATGAGAAATTTTGCAGAGATTGCATCCACACACACACACACATCAGTGGATGTTTATCATCATCATTCAGCAACAGCATCAGGTTCTTTCATTTGCAACTAGTTTTTTTTTCGTTTGTTCATTTGGTCCCGCATCAAGTTATTTTTTTACGAGTAGCATAGTCATACGAGATAATCATAATGATAATGATAACGAAGAAGAACAACGATGATGATGGCATGGCAGCAGTGGTCACACAAAATTAGAAAAAAAAGATAAAATCTATATTCAGGTGACATTTTATATATCTATTCTTCAAAGATAAAATTTGAAATTTTGAAAAACAACGATAAAGAATCATCATAGAGAGAGATAGGTGTCACAACTACAACTCCAAAACAATAAACCAAAAAAGGATTGAAATGACCAAAAAAAAAAAAAAAAATGTTCCGGCTACAATTATCCACACAACAAAAAAATAAATGTTTGATTTACTCATCATCATCATGATCATAATTATAAGGACAAAAAACAATGGGAAACACACACACACACACAACGACTAATTGTTTCAAGTTTTGATCATCATCATCATTGAAATGACGATAACGAATTGAACAATGAAATAACCGAAATTTTTTTCTGTTTTGATGTGAAAATGAAAAATTTTCATTCACACACACACTCATTGTATACGGATGTTTAAATCATCATCATCATGATTATGGATGCGGTAGCCAAAAAAAAAATGATGATTGAAAAAAGTCAAAAACTATGACACCTTGTCCTTATTGTCAAGATTAGAATAAAAATGATGACGATGATGATGCTAAACAGGTTAATTATACACATGTTTGGTGGATAGGCTTTATTCATAATAGTATCATATCTACTAATAGTAGGTAGTTGGTAGTTATGTCGAGCAAGCAATTTAATTTGCCGAGAACATAGAAACAGAAAAATATTGAATAATCCAATTGTTGTTGTTTATCGTTCATCAACTCATGATGATAATTTTGAAAAATTCATTCAAAAAATCGATAATTCTTTGTGTGTGTATGTATGTATCAGAGAAAAAAGGCCGAAATTTAATTATCAGGTCTAATAACTGCAAATATTTCATTGATTGTCAATATTGATCATTATAATAATGTTTGGCAATTTAAGTGGAGTGAAAAAAAATTTGAAATTTAAAAAAACAGATTATCAGTGTAAATCGTGTTATTCACATATCCATCAGACTCGATCAAATGATGATGATGATCATCACGATAAAGATATCTAAAAAAAGGTAGAAAAAAAACATTGACAACAACACACATTCACACTGATATTTTGTAGATAAAAAGATCGTGAAAATTACAGCATCCCATCCATCCATCAATCGTGAAATGAAATGGTTTTTTTCTTCTTGCTCATTCCATCAACAACAACAATTGTCTATCCTTCAATAATAATGGAATCACTTTAATCTTTAACCCAAAATCTCTCGAAAAAAAGGCTTCTGAATCTGATGGATTCAAGAAATTTGTTCATATCAAAATTGTGATTACCACACAGAATGACATTGATTTTTTTTCGTGCTCACATCGACATCTAATGATCTGATCATTATCCAAGATAATAATGGCAATGATTATTCATTCACATTCATCGCACATAGATACAAACAATTGAAATGACAAAAACCCGAAAAACGGAAAAATTGTAGAAAATTGATCATTTTATCCATCTCGTTGCTGCTCATCTAATGTCGTTCATCTCTCATCTAATCTCAATCATCAGGTGATGAGGCAATGACATGGCTGAAATGATGAAAAAAAATACCACCGATGATGATGATCTTGAATAAGAGAATCTGTTAATGATTAAAATCATCATCATCATGACGGTGACAAAGAAAGAAAAAATTGTAAAAAACAAACAATAAAACCAAATCATTAACCTCATGTATCGATTATAGCCACCACCGCAACCATTTACCAAAATCAAAAAAAAAAAAAAAATCAAATCGAATCGAATTGCATATTCAGGAATATCACAACCAACCAACCAACCAACCAACAAACTACTATACATCGATGGCAAGATTTAATTTTGAGGCAGAAAAAACAAAATTCGGGCACATATATTCAAACGCCCACACATACACACTCACACACACACATACACACAGAGTATTGAACCGGAAAATTCAGCAAAAAAATAAAAGATTTATGGCAGCAACTGATGCAATGCACAAAACCCATATTACCCAGGCCCATAGGAATTCATTATAATGGGCTAGTTGAATTTTTTATTTATGACCACCATCATCATCATAGCGCAGACCACAAGAAAGATGAAAAAAAGTATTGTACCCGGTATTAAAAAAAAATTGGAACCAAAATATCGAAATGTTAACGATCAAAATAGCCAATAGCCATTATATCAATGAACCATCCGACCAAACCAACCAATAAATAATGATTCATTATTTCGATCATCATGGTCATCATCATCATTGTCTCGTTTGAATAAATGAAAAGATGTTTTGTTATTCTGTTGAAATAATAAAAATCATTTTATTCCAAAATTTATTTTTCGGTCCAACAAAAAAAAAATGGTCAAATTATTTGACAAAAAGGAAAAAAAGAAAAAAATGTGACAAAATTCCAGATAGAAAATGTCAAACATTCATTCTTACACAATACAAATTGTTTGTATAAGTGGCTCTGTTTTTGTGATTTTCATTTTAAATACACATGCAGAGAATAAACATTTGATTTGCAGAAATAAAAAATGATTTTTTTCACTCTGTTCTGTGTAAGAGATTCAGATTGGAATAGAGAATTTGAAAGGAGAAAAAATTGGGACGAAAAATATTTAAATTTCTTTTCCATTCACATTTGATGACAGTTTGACAATCATCATCATCATCATCGAGGCCTACATTCACGAATAGATAGACAACAAACGTTGAAATGATTTTTTTCACTCTGTTCTGTGTAAGAGATTCAGATTGGAATAGAGAATTTGAAAGGAGAAAAAAAAATTGGGACCGAAAAAAACTCGGGTCCAATCTAGCATGAAATTTGCTTAGCTTGTCGATATTTATTTATTATTTTTCTGTTGGCAACCATAATGTCCACACAAACCATTGCGATATACTAAATGGAATGCACCGATACACAAAATGGACACAATATTTCAGTGTGTGTGTGTTTGCGCTTACAAAATGAAATCAAATAAAATCCATTTGAAAAGAAGCGAAAAAAATTGAATGAAATCAAATAAAAAATCAATTGAATTTGATTTGTTCATCAGTTCGGGTTATTGGGTTATTGAATTTGTACAATATTTGGACAAAATGAAAATGATACTGGATTCAAAAAAATGATCAATGAATGAGACCAAAATGTCACAGACATGATAATAAATTTCCTAGCCACGTGTCCATCTCACCAGAAGAAAGATGACATAAAATAAGCGCTGTGTGTGTGTAACTTTTGACATTTTAGTCATTGATAATTGAATCCAATGGTGATTAGAGATTATAGTGCAATGATGAAAGAAAACAAAATCCGAAACCACAACATTATTATGAATAGTTAATATTCAATATGACAAGCACAACAACTGCCAATTGAATCGAATTAGATCATTAATCAGGTCATTAATCCCCGTTTTTTCTGGGTTATCAATTTCAGCACAACGGAAAAAAAATTGCTGAAATTAAGAATTGACTTATTGGCGGTAATAAAGGAGGGAGAGAAATTCTCCCAATAAATCCCATTGGATTATTTATAAAAAAGGTTTACGATTTGACAACGAGAAAAGCATCTGTCATCACCTTTTTCTATTTTATCAAATCAGAGACATTTTGATTCCATATTTGGACAACAAATAGATGATTATCAAAGTGAATCATATACATACCTTTAAGTCTTGTGCTGGTAGTGGTCATTATGATGAAAATGATTGATGCTAAATAATAATACAAAAAATTTGATGAAAATGATGATCTCATCTTGAAACGATGATGATGATAATATGGTTGATTTATATCATCACATTGGTTTAAACATTTTGTCCAATATTCATTGGTTGTATCAGCAGCAGCAAAAGACATGGCTGATCGATGATGATTATTATTGGTAGAAAAATAAATAAGACTAGGGTCAATCAATGATGATGATCGCTGGTCATCGTCATCATGGTTGGTTTTTTGTAGAATTTCCTCGCAAATCTGAAACTGATTGCTAATAATCGACTGATGATGAATACAATCATCATCATCATTTGATTCATCAACAATACTGATTTGATTCTGGGACATTTCGGACATTATTTCTCTGATTATCGGATAAAAAATACAAATTCAATCACACATAAAATACAAATGAAAAGCGAAAAAAAATCGGTCAACAACACCCACGCACAAAACACAAATAAATAAATTGATGATGATGATGATGATGTTGTGAATCGATGATCATGATGATGATTTTTCACATACACACACGCACACACATTTGAATGCATAAAAAACACACTGATGATGAAAATTGAATTTGGGCCAAACAATCAGATCAACAACAACAACGATAACAACACTGAACAAAGAAAACACACAAACATGCAAAGTTCATTTCGCCGACAACAACATTATTATAGAGATTCATCAATCATCGATCATCATGATTATATGTCGACATTGTATAGATGAGTGAAAGAGAGGGGTGGTGAATAATCAAATGGGCGTCAAGTAATATTTGCATCATTTATGGCGATTTTTTTTCAGTGCTGTCAGTGTTGTGGGTTATTCAAAAAAAAAAAAAAATCAGATGTCAACCATCATAATTGGTTGACATTTTGTTGTTGTTGTTGGTGTCGTTGTTTGGTTGTCGTGTGTAAATTATGTGTTCAAATTAAGCATCAATGGATTGTTTAAAGTGATTAAAAACATTTGTCCACAAAAAAAACAAGCAAACGAATGAATCTGTTGATTTTTTCATCGATTCATAATTAATAGATTTGCCAAAAAACGAAAATAAAATGTTTGGTTCTCTGGAATTTATCCACCACCAACACCACAAAAAAAACAGAAATGAGAAATTAGACACAACACACAACAATCGAAAAAAATGTCATAATAATCGCCGTTGTCGTCGTCGCTGGTGGCACATTTGTTTTCTGTTGTTCTGCTATCTGTTCTAGACAATATCTGTTTTGGGAAAATGGAAATGACCAAATGTTTTGGTTTGTGTGTTTGTATGGATAACCCGAATTGTGATTCGGGACACAAAAAAACAAAAACAATTATTGATTACGACGATGATGTTGATGTTTTCAACCAAAACAAAAATCCAAACCATCAAACATTGTAATTATCGTCCTAAACCTAAACAAAGAAAAAAAAACAGAGAAAAAGAAATTGGACAATAATTAGTTATATTTATTTGATACAAGAGCAATAAGAATCGAAATGTGGATGATTATGATTATTGTATATGGAAACAGAAAACAAAACATGAAAAACAAACAAACAAACAAACAAAACAGACACACATATACAAAAACATTTGGCAAAACAATGCAAGATTTATAAATTCACATCGTGTATGCGACTGCATTGAACATCGACATGGCAGAGATATGAAATGATGACGATGATGATCCAGCATTCAATTCTGGTCAAAACATGAAAATATTTTTGTTTCCAAATACGAGAATATTCGATAAAATAACAAAATGTTTGTGTGTGTGTGTGTGTGATTGGAATAGAATTATTTGATATAGAATAGAAAAAAAACATGGAATTCATTCATTTGTTTCGATTCGATGATGACAAACAAAACAAAAGAGAAAAAATCTTGTAAATTCAAAATGAATAAAAAACACGCCTGAATGAATCAAATTCATCATCATCATTATCGGAGAAAGAGAAAAATGATGATAAATTCCACCATTTGGCAATGTAAGCAAAAAAAAAATTAGTGGATGGTGATTCGAAAACAAAGAAAAATTGATCCAGTGTTCGATTGATCAATCAACCATCATCAAACATCGACAAAGAAAGAAAATCAACAACGAAAAAAAACGTACGACAATTCTGTATAGTCCAAAGGAGGTTTGGTTTTGAATTTGCTTAATGTTTGGGCCATACAAATATTATTTCGAATATTGCATTGATTTTTCCAGAAAAAAAAATTCTCAAAGAATAATCTGGTAGCAAAATAACTCAAGCCCCACACCCAACAGTATAAACAATACAATAATTACAATTGTCAAATCACGTTTTATATTAACTAACTAACTAACACAAACAACAACAACAACAACAAATATCATATGCTTTTGTAAATGAAGAATAAAGATGTGTCTCACACTAAGTTGTGTCACAAGAGAATGGTAATGCTGAAATTTTTTTCTCATTTTTCACACAAAGAATAATAGACTTGGCTTCATAATGATAATGATAATGAATGTAATGGAATGCGAATCGAACGAAACAAAACACCATCATGGAACATGATACACACACACACACACACACAATGATCATTTGAGTAAGCAAAGAAAAAAATGAAAAGAATCTACTCGAAAAATGAACAAATAAAATTCGTGTCGTACGTGCACGGCAATATATATTCTGTGAATAGTGAATGGATGTGCTATACTTCTGGCACATCTTTCAATCTCATTCATTCATTCTTACTGGAATTTCGTTCATTTTCTTTTTCGTTTTTTGTTGTTGTTGTTGTTTTTGATTCGTTTCGATCGGATTCACAAGAATTGATTTGAATCGAAAATGGAAAATGAATAAATCTAATTTCCACTTGGAATATATAATTGTGCAAGAACCAGGAACTAGGAAATAATTAGACCGAAAAAGTAAGAAAATTGAGACTTTTTCAAAATTTCAGATGCCTAGATTGAATACGATTACCGGAAATTTACTTGCAACCCACAATACACACAAACAAGAACAACAATAATGATCGTCTGAAAAAAAATTTAAATTTTTAAAAAAGGCATTTCATACCATCATCCCGCGCCATTTCATATCAGTCATCGTTCGTAATCATCATTATGTGATTTCATCAAATCTAAAAAATGTCCTCAATTTATCTACCTACTGTATTTGTGTGGAGGCGAGCATTTTCCGTTATCTAGATTGAAGCTCTAGATTACGAAAACATCAACATGACTGCAGACTATGACCTATGATCTAGCTATACAAAGATTTTATTTATCGTTGAAAGATACCTACACAGAAAACACAGAAAAAGAGGATTTTTATTAAAAAAAAAAAATCAGAAGCAATTATTTGTCAAAAACACAAAGATGTAGTTGGAAGCTAAAACCAAACATAGTGGACAACAACAAAACGCTTGAACATGAAACAAAAACAGAAAAAAAATTAACCCGAATACAAACAATGGACAAAGACTAATTTGACGCAATTTTTTTACGGTAGAAAAATAATTGAGATTTTTTTTTTGCTTTGTTTGTTTTCCATTGTGTTCCAAACCACTACCGCATTATTATTTGGTCAACTTTTACGCGTCTCCAGGGGAAGCAGTGGACAATGGACAATCAGAAGCAAAAAACAGAAACAGAAACACCACCACAAAATACCATTCATCAAAAAACAATTGAATGAACTAATTAGATCCACAGAAACAAAAAAATTTCCAAAAAAATTCCAAAAACGAATTGAATTGTGAAACCCTTTTTATCGAGAAATGGAAAATTCAAATGTCCAATATCACATCATTTTGATGCACCCAGCACTCTCAAAAAAAAAAAAAAATTCATCGATTGAAAACAAAAAAATCATTTCCCAATGACTGATGATTAGGATTTTTGGCTGTATGCACAGCAAGAAGATCAATTTGTTATCCTTGTTGTTTGAATCATTCAATTCAATTCATTCATTTTTCTGTGTGTGTGTGTGTGGATGGATTGATTGGGATGCTTTCCACAATAATACCACAAGCTGTGTTATAATATGATCATCATCATAGTGGTCATGTCAAAATGTCTACATTTGGTGCTCAGTGTGTGTGTGTGGACAAAATAAAATATTGAAAAAAAACAAGTTCAACAGGGCCAAAATGGTCAAAAAACAACCACTACCAGCATCATAGTCAATGATGATGATACCTGCATCCGAATAAACGAAATAAACAAAAAGCGAAAAAATAGTTTGCCAATCACAGAGACAAGAAAATTGAAATCCAACATGGATATTCACCAGATAAATAAAAAGAGAGTATACGAAGTGAAAAACAAATTTGTAAATACAAAGATGCTGCACATACAAATAGTCAGAGAGAAAGAGATACAGAAGCATCGAAAAAAAGCAGAAGCTAAAGCAAAACTTTCAGATGAATTTGTTTTCCAAAAAGATTTCTCAGCATCGCCTTTATCGTCGTGGTCGTGATAAAGATAAAACAGGCTTTTTCCATTTTGCTTCGCAGAAAAAAAAAGAAATGAAATGATTGACTGACAATCAACAGAAAAGAACAGAAACAGGTAGCAGGTCAAGCAAAGGTAGCATCATCAAGAACCATGCAAACATTCTGGTTTTTGTTTGGATTCAGTCAGGTAGTAGCCATATCATCATGATAATACGTGGCCACGATCATCAAGAGTGGTGATCAAGATGATGATGATGATGACCAGAGTCACAAAAAAACTCGATCAATCGACCGAAAATAATAAAGAAATTAATTTCCATTTTTAAAAACGACGAACGACCTGGGAAACAAAAAAAATTGGGTAGAAAAAAAGGGAATATTTTTTCCACCACCATTTTACTTGATTTATATACGTATCGAAATCGTGGTGAACGAAAAAATGAAAAATAAAATAAAAACAGAAACTGGACAATGTGAATCAATAATAATCATCATCATAATAATTAATTGATCATTTCGTTAGTTTGGAAAAAAATGATTATGATCATGATGCACTCTCAATGAAATTGATTTGCCTCCACATTTTATTATTTCAAACATTATATTCTCAATGATTGATCAAAACGATCGATCGCGATTGATTGAATTTTTTCTGCTGTAACACTACTCACAGGTAGTAAGTAGTAGCCATCATCTTATCATCATCATTATTTTTTCATTTTTGGTTATTATTTATATTCATTGAAGAAAAAAATCATCATCATCATCATCGTGATTATGATTATGATGATGATGATGATGATGATGGAAAAAAGCTAAAAAAATCCAGATCATGATAATGATGGTGATCGGAAAAGTATTATTCAAAATGGCAGTAGTTGTAGTTTTTTGGGTTTGATTACTTTTTTTACAGACAAAAAAAAGAAATCATGAAATGATTTTTTTCAAACTTTGAAAAAACAAATTTTTCATCCAGCCGATAAAAATCTAAATTCAAATTGAAGCACTTTAAACATTTCCGATGTTTTTTTCTTTTGAATTCCGGTTTTTTTTAATTTCAATAAACAATGACCGGTTAGCAAACTGGACCCAGCATATATTGATTATCTACCTCCGCTAATGTTGATTATTGAAAAATTTGATTCACGAAAAAAAATTAACATTGCATCATCATCATGATGGTGGTGGT